CAATACGATATAATAAATCATTCTTTTTTAAAATACATTTTGTATCAGGATTAACATAAACATATCGTAACCCTTGATCATTATGTACTACATGTCGATATAATCCAAGTGGTATTGCTTTATGAGCTCTAACTAAATGTCTGTAAAATGCTTTATATTTTTGACCTTCAAAAAAAAAAAAAAAAAAATTAGATGGACATTTAATTAGAAAATACTGTATAAAAAAATAGAGTTTTTTAAATATCTTACCTATATATAGATGAGGGACTTCAACTTGAAATACATGACCTGAACTAAGACCAATATTATTCCAATAATTTCGACCATAATGTTCAATATCAATCTTTGGTGATAAATTTTCATCATCCATATCATGACTGAATATTAAACGTTTCAAGATTATAGGAATATGACGGTTATAAAAACTATTACAGTAGATTTAGAATTTTTTATATTAATAATTAATATTTTAGATAACATGCAAAAAAAATTAATTAAAATATCACTATAATATTGTTTTTTTTTTATTTTTACCATTGACATAGCATGGTGTCTAAAGTGCTAGGTGCAAACACATTTCCGCTCATAAAAGATGGTCGCATTAATGCTTGAACTAAAAAAAAGGTTCAATTTCAACAAATTCGTATATTTAAAATAATTTAACATGTAATTATCAGTTTAAATATATTAAGTGTAATAATATACTTACTATAATCTTCTTGACGATTCTTAATCGAATCACTTTCTCCTATCATTTTATAAGTTTCTCGGTGTATACACTCAACTAATATAAAGCAATCATCTTTTGCAAGAGCCTCAATATTCAATGCTGTCATTAGAGAAGTGGCATCAGCTACACCTTTATTTATTCTATAAAGAATAAATAAAATAAATCATAAATTTTAAAAAGTTTCGTTATTTTTTTTTTTTTTTTTTAAAAAAAAAACTCACTCATTATAATATGTCTCATCACTCAGAACCATACATTTTTTCGCGACATGAACTCTAGCTCGGAAAAGATCTTCCCGTC